TATATACAAATACATATATACATATTTGTATAGATATATATATAGATATAGATATATATATATGAACATACCGCCCGAAGACCAGCACCACATTTGGATGGAACAGACTGGACAGCAATTCGACTTCACGTTCGAATTCAAACTGGGCGCCGGGGTCTTGGGTTTTCATGACTTTCACAGAGCATATGACGGCAGATGAGCCAATGAAAGTGACGGCCTTGTACACGTCACTGAAGTTACCGCTGCCAATCAGATCCAGCATGGCGAACGAGTCTTGGTCAATGTGTGCGTTGTTGCGAGCACCCTGTTGTTGTAAGTACATCAGAGTGGTGATGGTGTGAGATACGATGTAATACACGGCCGAATGGTAAAAGTTTGCGGTCAGGCTGTTATATGTATGACGGAAAGGTGATAATGTGAGGTGAGAAGTCTTATATGACGGGAGAGGATATAACCTGGAGAGTATACAGGAATCCTTTGTATATTTATCGGCATCTCGACAGAAATTATGCACACTTTATATATATACAAATATACAAATATACAAATATATATACATATATATGTATAGTCATATATACAATACAGCCACATATATACATATATGGCTGTATAAGTGTTGTATACATCTGTACAGATCTTTCGTTGTGTACATACATACGTCTACCACACAACAATCATATACAAGCGATAGATGAATACATGCCGACAATACGCCGCACACACAGCAGCACAACCTTCCGTGCAGTTACGTCTCATAACACTCACTGTACACAGCAAACAACAACATCGCACATACCTGACTAGATATCCACTCTCCTATGAGCTTATACGCCAAGCTTCTGTCAGTGATCCACTTAACACCCCTTTTCTTCGCGTCCACCTCAATTTCCTTGGCAAGGTTCCGTTGTCTGCGAAGTGAATATGATTTAGGGATACAAATCAAACCCTGGAGTGGTCTGTGAATATAATATGATTTTACGCATGCAATGTGAACTGCAAGTTTAGGTGTACCTATGTACATACCATACGATTGTTGTGCTTGGTTTATACGGATACAACACAAGATTGGTGTACTTAATTTACATATATATCCTGACAAGACCAGCATGCACATGCAAACATGCACATACACGCAGATGTAAGAGCAGATGTAGATATACGATATGACATCGGGTGTGCACATACATGCTGGAGTCACCATACAACTCCCGACTAGAGCGTATGCAGAATTCGGATTATAACATCATCAAAAGGGCAACAGATGCAACGATATCCCTGAAAGAGTTATAGCCCAGGCGAAAAATAAAAATTACGCGCAGACGAAGCATCAAAGTAAGGTATGCCAATAAGCCTATTGCTATAACATCCAGGTACCACGCCCCTGCTATCACAATATGCTCGATATACGGATCCATACTTGTTCACAATAGCACTGACATATACCAATACGAGAAACATAATATACATATAT